ATTCCAGATTGCTTCGGGTGTATCATAATCGCCAAGAAATATTTGCGCAAATTTTTCTGCTCCATGGTTTTCTAAATAACTAACCATTGCATCGGGTAAAAGTTGTCCAAGAATGCTTCGTTGCATGATATCTGATGATGAATTCTATAACATTAAAATATCATACAACACGATTGATTTATATTATAATTAATAGAAATAGAAATTTTATACTTACATCATCGCTTCTAAAAGCTTGTTTCGTATGAGTTAACTGTAAAAATCTCGCTATCGGTAAAACGTTTGAACCGGTGTACATTAATATGAAATAAAAGATACCAGTAAGATAAATTTTCGAAACATCCGCATTATCTCGCATTATTTCACATAATAAAGTAGCTACTTTCTCAACTAAAACCGGGTCAAATGTTAATAAAAGTTGAACAATATGAGGTAGGCACTGGAGATCAGATAATAACCGTTTCATTCGCGGTAGGGGTCTAATTACCGCATCATCGACATCTCTACTTGGAAAATACTCGCACATTTTGATCAAAATATTTAGAATTAATGTTGCTAATTCACTTTCATTTATTACTGGTGTTCCTTTCGCGACCAACGTCCATTTTAATTGCGGAACTTGCGAGATCATACGCCATCCATCTAATCCTTGTGCCCAAACTTTTGTTTTGTATGTAATTTGGTTTGTTAAATACAATTCCTTCAAATCTTTTAAACTTATAGGGCCTTTCCGTTGATCTCCATCATTATAATACCATTCTTTTTCCATAACTAGTTGTTGTTGTGGTCCTGCTTCTATTACATTAGTTTGCGTAGGTACGACCGCTCTGGATGTGTGTAAGTGAGCCAAAGTTAAAAGATCAACTAATGTGCGCACTCCGTTTTGATCCATTATATCTTTTACATTTCTTCTATGTAATATAAGTTTGTTTATGAACATGACTAGCCTATCACGTTCCATTCTATCCATACAACGTTCCAGCATTCCTACAATATATTTTGTATCCGAAAAAGGACCAATATCTTCATAATATCGCTCATATACTATAGTCATTGCTTGTAAGCAAAGGCACTTCATTTCAATTTTTGTTGTTAGTATGAATCTATGATACAAGTCGTTAAAAAATTCATACCTGTCACGAAAACAATAAATTATTACTTAATACGCATAACATAATATATAGAAACAAGTTTCAAAATATATTTAACAATGTACTCTGAATTGTAATAAAAATAATTAAAACTGTATTACACATACGATTTTCTTATTGGACTGTCTGGACTATCTTTTTCCAATAGAAGTCTCAAGTAATAATCACCGATTTTCACTTCATCTGACAGGCACTGATACTGTACTTCAAATTCTCTATGATTCCAAGCAATTAGAGTTCCCCCTGCCAAATCCTTGTCAGAACCGAATGCACGGATTTCATTTTCGAGTGCGGTTCTTAATTCTTCGCGTGTCTTATGATTCCAAATTAAATTCGGCAGTGAATGATCTTGATTAAATTTATAATAAAATAAATTCCAATTTGCTTCCGATTTAATTCTTTCCCTGCGTTTTCTTAATACTATCGGACGTTCTTTGATTTTTTCTTTACGTTCGATTCCGATTCTTGCACCCCAGTGTTGAAGAGCGTGATCAACATGTTTTTCAACCACACGCATTTGTCGTTCGATCGCAATCCACTGTGGACTTTTTTTATTTTTCGATGCGTGATCTATAGCTATTTTTAAATTGTCACGGTTGTTTAATCGTTCTTTTTCAAGAAATGAATCGGGTACTTTTTCATCGGAGTCTAAGTAATTTAATAAACCAACTGGCTGTATAAATGCACAATGAATATAAACTTAGATACTTCCATTCTTCTAATTAAATGAAAATGATATTATAAGCTCAGTTAATAATGCTGATTTACCATAATCCGTTTCAACAGTCCCATAGCTGTAGGATGTCCTGTAACCCAAAGTCCTACAAGATGTCTACACAATTGTCTATGTGTTAACAGTCTACCATCAGTACCAATAGTAAAAAGACTATTTAATAGATGTCTCGGTAAAGCTCCTTCGGCAAGAGCAAGTTCTTGCATTTTTGCAGCAACTTCTGGTGCACCTTCTTCAATAATCGCTCTCATTATCAATCCCGCACCTTTAACGATAGCTAGCGATGGATGTTGAAATAGTTTAAAAAGTGATCTTCCTCTTGCAGCAACCATTTCTAGAAGATTATCGAAATGTTTGCCATCAGTCGTTTCACTATACGGTACGCACAGAGCAAAAGTTAAAAGATCAAGCATGGCAGAAACTACCAGAGCACCTGTACCATGATTCTGAAATATTTATAGGAACAATGTTACCATATTATGGACAAGACAATAGTTAATACTATCAAGAAAATAAAAATAAAATTAGTATTTTTACACTTACTATATGGTTAATCCACATATCAAGTAAATTTTCCAAAAATTTATTGCTACTGAGAAGGCTACTTTTATTTAACTGTTCTTGTCTTAAATCACAATCATCATGCATTGGTTGCATGAGAGCACAAATGCAATCTATAGCAGCTTGTGTTACACCATAATCTTGTCTCTTTAAAGCTTTTACAACCTTATGTCCAATAGATTCTCTAAATCCAGGAAGAGTTGTAAATGCAGTAAAACCAATTTTGCTAGCAACCAATCTTCTTAAAGAATGAAATTGTGCTTCTATTTCACTGTTTGCTTCTAAATCTTTATTAACTAATGCATTTAAAGCACCAAGAATGATTTTATCTTTATTTTCAGTAAAAAGACCCTGCAAGTAGTTATTCATCATACGGTATATATGAAGTTGTAATGTTGTTGCAGTCCATTCAAGCAGTGTAATATCCTGGACAAAAAAAGAAAATACCTATTCAGCTTACTATATAATCTATTTATTACAATAAATAGATATAATTTACATTTAAAATCAGTAATTTTCGTTGGCACGAAAAATCAAACAATGCATAAAGAAGCAAATATTTTAAGAAAAATTAAATTATGTAAAATACAAAATGTCAGGAACAATTTTTTCCTATAAATATTTATTCAATTTATTTCAGTATGTGTATAGGTAGTTATAATTTATTATCCTATTTCATATATTTAATTTTTTAATATAATTTGATGTAATTTTATTCCATTTTAATAGACTGTCACCGCTTTAATGTACTGCATAATATTCATTTTTGTTTAATAATTATATAAGTACATTGTATTATATATATACACACATATATACATATAGAAAATACATACATACATACAATATATATATAATATTATGTATATACATAATATTGAATATACCAAATATAACTTACATCTTGTGTAATAGAATAATTAAGACCACTGTAGGGAATGTTTGCATTAAATCTGTCCAAAATTTCAGCAAAACTACGTCCACATAGTGGTGGTTGTTGGAGAAATTTAACATGAGATATCTCAACCTCTTCATCAACAGGTAAATTAAAAGGTGCAAGTCTTTTCCCTCTAGATACTGCATACATTCTGACATGAACATCTCTATTACCAGATGCTCTAACTCCATCCAATAAGGAAGCTAATAAAGAATCTCTATCCGTTGCAGTATAACTACGAATTTGACCATTGAGATATTGTACAGTAAATAATTGTGGATTTTCATTGTCACGAATCAAAGCAAAAATATCCGATAGAGGTCTAAGAGTACAGATATTATACGTTTGAGGATCTCTTTCTAATAAACATGTATCAGATAGACAAAGAGTTCTTCTTTGGGGATCTATGTGTCTAGATGAATATTTGTGAACAGTAAATTCTGATACACTTGTTATATGTTCATCACCACTAAATTTACCCAATCTCTGAGCAATAAAATCATCTAATTTGATTGGTTCTTTCAAAACTTTTATGCTGATACCTAAATTGTTCATAGCTGATTCCAACAACTTTTTCTTAATTTCTTCCATGTGTTGAGAAGCAAAAAGATGTAAACGTCCAAATCCACCACATACAACTACAAATCCATTAGGATAATCTTTCATTGTAAGAATTCCTTCAAAATCTTTATAACAGTAACTGGCTAATACCATATTTGTTGCTGGATCTAACTGGTCAAGACTATATGGTGTCACTTCTAACACAACAGGTAATCTTGTATCAGACCAATGATGCTTGTAAGCTTGATATCTCTAGAGAAAATAAAAATATTAATTTAACACATATAATAACACTTTAATCTATGTTAATAGATAAAGAAAATAATTATTTACTTATTGTTATATTTTGAAAAAACTATTTAGACCTTAGTTAATTATAATTTAATGTAAAACATTTTGATGAAAGTACTGAATTATAAGTAGACATTATATAGATTGATGTATGACATTCCAATATTATGATACAAAAAAGGCATATATATTAGTTATGTAGATAACTGATGATTAATAACTACTAATACACTGTAGGCAATTATATACTAACCATATGGCTAGGTTGATAACATGTTTGATTAAGTTTCAGTAGTATTATTTCTTGAAAATACATAAAACAATACATAACTCACCAAAATCTCTTTTGGTTTCTCAGCAAATTGGTTTCGATACTTAAGAGCTTCAGTTAATAAATGAGCTCTATATTCTGAACTAAATTTCATATTGTCAACTTTACGTTCTTTACGCATTGTTATACTAAATTCGTGTAATCCTAACTGATTTCTGTTTGTTGGTTGCACACTTATAAAATCTGAGTATTCCCATTTGTTTGTCACTTCTAATGTAGTAGGATTGTATGTTGTTATACCCATAGATCCAATGGAAAAGATACGTTTATATCTATTGTACAAACATTAAATATTAATTTTAGTGGTAATGTTAAATAAGAATACTGATATTTACTTGAAATATATAAGAATGTGTAACACAACAATAGATATCCCATTGAGGTCATATGAAATCATATGAATTTGTATTTGATTTTATAGAATAAAGTTATGATAAAATACATATTAAAAAGAAATAACTAGATAATAATTAAATAAAAATTATTTAATTTTAATATATTTAGTTTAATTTTGTTATAATATCAAAATATATTAGACATAATATTAATACATGTTTATGACATTAATATTGAGATTTGTTTATTGAAAAATATAAATACATAGAGGATATTTAACTATTTTACTTATATTATTATATCATAGACATTCTATTTATTTTAGTTTATTGTTCAGTTTAAAATAACACAAACACATGTACATCTTACAACAACAATTCATTTCTTTGTAATTAATTTAAGATATTTTACATCGTATATAATTACTTTATTGTCCATTGTATATCATTATCCATTAATTTACGTAAATTTATTAACAAAATAGCAAAAATTAAAGAACGCGCACTTACTTTCCTTTCCATGAGTGTTTGGTGACCAGAAAACATGCCACATCCTGGTTATCCTTTATTGGCATCATTGTAACATGTCCTGACAATGCAACGTGAGTATTATTTTAAATATTGTTTTAAAAAAACACTGGTTACTGTCTGTGAACGATTTATAGCGTAGCAGGGACATTCGCATACGAATTGAAAATGAATTACACGAAAGTCATTTTTAAAATGATAGATACAGAAAACATAAAATACATTTAAACCGCATACACAATATTTACGTTTGATATATAAACGAATGATATTTAGGCACTATTTTATCTCGTTTCAGTCGACTAATGTCATTTTCAACGGCTCCATCGGACTGGGAGCGGCCATGATGCTAGGGGGTGTTAACAAACAGCTGTTTCCAGATGGCAGAATGATCACTGTAGAAATCTTATTTATGTACGGATGTATGTTATATATACTTTTGTGTTCTTTAGTGATGTTAATATACTTTCTCTAAAACAGTTTCTTAAATTTGTCTTTATAAGGAAAGGAATACTAATTTTAAAACAGCGTAAAAGGTAGAAAATTACAATATTTGAAATGAATCTATAACTAAGAGTAAATCGATTTTTGTTAATATAACCAAACTAATATATTATGAATTGCAGGCTTGTTTATATATACATTTACTCATTAAATGTATATATATATTAAGCCATAATTAAAATTAAAAAAGAAAGATACTGTTATTTATATTGAAATTTAAATTAAATTTAATTTATTTGGTAATTTAATATAAAATGGAAATATTGTGTGTGATAGTGAATATACGCTACCGTTCATAAGCATTTGACCACCTTCAGTTTATTGAAAATATATAAAATATATTTGAAACAAAGCATCCCAATGTAACTCTTGTTACATTATTTCTTTCATACACTCATATAAACATAAGAATTAATAATACAGACAATATTCAATGTTAAATACTATAAGTAAAAGGAGACTAAAAAAAGTTAAATGAAAACTGGTTGAGCGAATGCATTTGTGTTGGTTGGTTTCAAGTGTCACTATTAGGGACTTTAGGTAATTGAAAGAGTTCTTTTGTCCACATTCTGGGGATACCTATATATTTCTTTAAGTGTTTGACATTCTTTAGAGATAAATATGGAACTAAAGTGATACAATCTTTTTTTCTATATTAACTTTAAAGAAAGAAGGATATTCAAGCTGGCAAATCACAGTTAAAGTTAATGTTTCACGATCTGTAGTGTTCTATATAATTAAAAACTTTACGAACATAGACATTTACAGCAGTAGCAATGAACAGGACAACTCAGAATAACTATAGAAGCTGAAGATTGCTATATTTTACCCTTAGCAAAAGAAATAGTCTTATGACAACACTAGAAATTACATATAAATTAAACCAGAGTAGAGAAGATCCTATAGGAGTAAAAACCATAAAAGGGCTATTATTAAAAGGCACATTATAAGATTGCATAGCAATTAAAAAACTGTTTTTAAAACCTCAGAATAAAACGAAATGGCTTTGATGGGCAAACGAACATGCAAATTCAAAACAATATATGATACAATATCTTACTGGGAAAAAGTATTATGGATTGATAAATCAAAGTTTCAAGTATTTGAAAATAAATGTTGTGTTTTTGTATAATGAAAACAAATTGAAAAGTTATTACTCTAATATGTTATACCAACTGTGAAGTATGGAGGGGGTTCTGTGGTGATTTGAGGATGTTTTGGACAAATAAAGTGGGCAATTTAGTGTAGATAGATGAAATTCTTTAGAAAGAACAGTATTTAAGAATTTTACGAGATCACTTTTTTATGCAGGATAACAACCTTAAACATAGTGCAAAGATGTATCAAATATATATATTTATATTCATTCTAAAAGTATTAACATTATAAGCTTGATATAAACTTTTAGATTCAATTCTGCCAAGTAATCAAATACTTATGGACAATAGTGTATGTATTCAAATTTGCTAGTATTATACGCGTATCAACTTTTACATGTAATTATGATTTATTTCATTCTCATTTTTATCCATGTTGTTAGAATATAATACTTTTAGTCTAGTTATATAAATGAATTGGAGGTTTGATATTAACTGGAATAGAGGTTATAAATCGTCTCGTGTTTGTTTATAAGTTATTAAAAACCATTAAATTTCATATTTTTTGTTTATTATTCATATGCTTTAATTATAAGTGATATGTAGAATATACAAAGAATAAAAAATGTATTATATAATTTTATTCATTTCAGATATATAAACTAACAAAATGATAGAAAATAATGTATCTAGTGAAAGCGATGAAGGGGAAATAAAATCAGAGTTTGAAGAAGATTTTCAAGAAGAATTATATAATTTTCCTCATGTTTTAAAATTTATCCAGAGAATGCGTGATCATATTAGGAAGCAAAACAAAAAAATTGTTAAATTACGAAATAAACTTAATGAACATGTAAGAGATGCATTTAGAAAATTTATTTATTCCATGATATCTTATGTCTTACTTTGTACTTTGCACACAGAAAAATCAGAAATTATTACAAAAGAAAACTTTAATTGATTATGGGACCCAAACAAATCTTTTGGAATATGAGAAGGAATCACATCTCTCACAGGATTGGAGTATTAGTAATGACAAAACATCAACTGGTATTAAAGAGCAAGTAAAAGAAGCAGCTGAATCTGCTTTATTGCAAACTGGTTTTGTTTATGAAGAAACTTCTGGTTTATACTATGATTATAACAGTGGATATTATTATGATGCAGTAAGGATTTATGCCCTATGTTTAAACTTTCATTGATAATCTTTATAAATTATATAAAAAAAACTATTCCAGAAACAAGGTTTATATTATGATGGTAATACGGGTACATATTATTATTATGATGAAACTAGTGGATCATATCAGTTCCATAGTCAAGCACAAGTAACTGTGAACGAAGCAGCTGCATATGTGCATAGCAAGAAGGAGCAGAAGACTAGAAAGGCAATTAAGGTTGAGATTTAAACTATTATTATGCAATGTGTATTATTCTAAAAAGAATCAATCGCAGTTTTTGATTTCAGGTTTCGGATGACATACATGAATTAATAAATGGCCTTTCAAACATATCAATTGAAAAATACAGGCGTCAAGCACTAGGTAATTATCCTATGCCCTTAATATGCACACATGTCTCTCTTGTAGGATGAGGGGAAAAAACGCAAACTTGCAAAAAGAGAAGAACAATTGGAAGATGAACTTGAGGAGGGTGAATGTTCAAGCAATGATAACGACAGCACTTCTAACGATATTACTCCAGAATTATGTACTAGTAGTGACAGTGATCATGAAGAAGATCAAGGTTTATTTTTAATTTGTTTTCTTACAGCTTACTAACGATTGAATATTACATAAAATTTTGCAATAATCAAAGTCATAAATTTTTCTTTAAACATGTGATTATTATTCTTCATATTTCATTACATTTAAATTATGTGAATGTTAATTGTAATCATGGCTATATAATTAATATTATAAGTACAAATTTGCAAATACTATTTGAAATATTTTATGTTGCAAAGTATATTAATTTATTTTTTTTATAAGTTTACTTTTTATTACAGATTTAGCGAAAACTTATCCACCATGCATGAGAATCATAGTCAAAGAAACTAATTTATCGAAAGTAAAAATTGGAAGTCTCTTTCTTGTTGCGTACACGGGTGGTTCAATTGGTCGAGAAGGTGATCATTCTGTAGTTATTCCCGATATAAATATTAGCAAAGTAAGTTATAAATAAAAATTCTTTTACATAAATAACGTTATACAGATAAAATTGAAGGTAAAAAATTAAGTAAAAATTTTCACTGTTTCAGCATCATGCTCGATTCGTATATAACGAAGATAAAAAAATATATGAAATCATTGATTTGGGATCAAGAAATGGCACGTTTTTGAATAGTAAAAGATTGTCTGTAGCTAAACAAGAATCTGAACCTCACGAAGTTACTCATGGTTCGATTGTGCAAGTTGGTACTACAAAATTGTTATGTCACATTCACAATGGAAACGAAACTTGTGGTCATTGTGAACCAGGACTCGTTCAACAAAGCAATAATGCGGAAGAAAACAAAGCTTCTAAGAAAGAGCAACACAAACAAGAATTAAAACGGTTAAAGTATAAGTTTGGTGTAGAGAAAGATAATGTTGCAACTGCTAGTCAGCTGGCATTAGGCTATCAAGATAGAGCGCAAAGTCGAAGACAGTGCGTTGGATCATTGAATCATCATGCTAAAACGCAACAAAGTTCAATGGATATGTAAGTTTTCTTTTTGTAATATGAGTTGCCTGTCTATTTTTTGTTTTTATTTTTTTATCCTTTTGAGTAAGAAAATTTGTTCCTCTTTTTGCATTATTTTAATGCATATGACGTATTTCATTTATAGATCTATAGCAAAGGACAACAGAGGGTTTAAGCTTTTATCAAAAATGGGTTGGTCTGAAGGACAATCATTAGGAAAAGAAGGAGATGGCCCCATTGAACCGGTGAGTCAGTCTCGTTACAGATTATATATATTTGTTAATAATATGATTATATTATTTTTTATCGAGTTTCATTGGAAATAGTACATAAGTTATAATAAATGATAATTTAATTACTTTTCGTAATGGAAACGTAGATATTGGTAAAATTAGAATTCACGACTATTCTGGGTAGTGACATTATTTTAGCAGTTTATTTAATTAAATTTATATTATATAATATATTAAAAAACGCAATATTCAGAATTTTCTAAATACAAAAAAAAAAAAGTTAGGAATTGAAACATTCTTTTTAAGCAGTTATTTCATCGTAATTATCGACGATATCATAGCATAATTCTTCTTAATTTTTAATTTCCAGAAAAATGATAAATTAGTTAATCGAATTAAGTGAAATATTTATTTCATAATAAAAAAGTTCAATTTCAAGTAGGTTTTTTTCCATCTCTAAATCAAATTCAGTTCTTCCTATCACAAATCTCAATCTTACAGATAGCGATATAAAAAAAGATCATTATCTAAGCCAAAGTTAGATAGGACGTCAGTATAATCTAGAATTCGCTAGCAACTCGATTTTCCTTCGCTTTAGGAATCTCAAGTTTGAATTGCATGCAAAACAACAGAGATTGTAAGCTCCATATTTAACATAACAGTGGAAGATGCATTTTTCTCAAAGTAACGTGGATAAGTACTGGACGTGGTCGATGCAGAGACAGAAATTTCCCTAACGACGAACTTGAAGTCTATGTGACGAGTTATCTCGTCTTCATAGCTCGCAGGAACGATCAAACAGACGCCAGATGTCGTCAGTATGTAAACTGCGCGTCGAGGGAAAAGGCCGATCTCCGCGTGCGTATTAGCGCGGCCGCGATTCCGATGACGTCAATCGGCAATTGTGTGCACGGGACGTTCCTTGTTTTACGTTTCGTCGGACCGGTCGGACCGTGGAATCGGACGGTGCAGCACGTGTGCCCAATGCAAAAGGTGCATACAAACGCGGGGCTCTCGGCCACTCATTAGCCGAACGGTCGCGCCGCTGCAATTCGCAATCCGGCCTCGTTCGCCTTTTTCAGGCGACGCGCTAAAAACTACGGGCTGCCGCTGCTGCTGTTCACCCCCTGTACGCTTTCTCTGTTCCTCTGTTTCCACCACACCACCGTCACCTCTCCACCACCTCTACCACCACCATCACCATCACCACCACCACCACCACCAGCACCAGCACCAGTGCCACTACTACCCTTCTAACTGACCCGTCCGATACAGCGTACTACGTCGATACACGTGCATATGTACATGGTGCAACACAAGCTGGATACAGGCGCGTGTGCAAAAGCCAGACAGCAAGCTGGTTCTAGCTGCTGCTGGTGCTGCTTACTCGTCCGGTCGCATCGCATTTCGACGGCGACGAAACGAGCGCCGACGGCACGAGCAGAGCATTCGTATGATAACGAGCGTAACTCTGCGAGACATGAAACGGAATAGTAGAGGGGATCGTCGCGAGGGGCAGAGACGAAAACGAGAGCAGCAGAGAGCGAGAGGGAGCGATAGAAGAGGTGTCCCTGGATAATGAATGCAAATGTATTGAAATCCAAATCATTATTTTGTCTAGACGCATCGTATGCTCTATTGCGCGCTTCGAGCTGAAGGAAGGGAGTGGGAGTGGGGAGGCACATACCGGCTCCTCGTGGGGGGTGAATTAAGGGAGAAAGGAAACGACGGTGGAGGGGGAAGTGAGGCTGTTGTTTTCTCTCGTCTCCGTGTACCTTGACGCGCGCCTGCTAAATTTGCTTGTACCTTTATCCCCGTGATGTCCGACAAGCTCTGGTAAATTTATCTGTGACGGTCCACCCTGTTCTAATCCTCGTCTTCGTTCACGTGGATTCTCGTCTGCGCCGCGTCTCGTTTCCTCGTAAAACCACCTTGGACTACTGTTACCGTCTTATGATCGCGAATGTATGCCGCGTTCTGCGTACAGGCACGTCGGTGCCGGTGCTTTCTACTTTAACGAGTGTGAAGTAATTAATATATTTTCATGCGTCAGTTGCTCCTATCTTTACCGCTTGTAAACGCAGGAAACAATTTTACGGATGGTAAATGTATATGTTTTACTGTGGTTCCTGATGCGGAAAAGGAAGTCGGTTTCAGATACGATAGTCCGTGGAATTTTCTTCTTCAGTTATTGTAATTTCGTTTCGAAGGGAAATGATACAGTTTCCAGTGCATACCTGTGTACGTGCTGCGTACACGTACACCGCTCGTGTACGTATAGCGAGCCTTCGAGCGATTAAAGATACGTTAGGATCGCGTGATTTGTAAGGGAAAAATATGATGTACGGCTTTACAATTTTGTTAAGATTATTACATCCTATCACGGATATGGAATTGTGATTTATTTCCACATATTTTGTTCTACGTTCTAAAACCTACTTAATAAGCCGCTCTCTCATTAAAAGTTTCATTCGAAAGTTTTATTCGAAATTCATCCAAGAATAAGATCATGTCAACCACTACACGTGCATAAGGGAATATTCAACGAAATATTCGCCTCAGCGAACAATTAACATTTATATTAACGTTTCATCGTTTCAGAAAATACTCTATATTTTCCACTTTCCCAATCGTCGACGCCATTTTGGATACACCGATATAGATATTTTACATATCTCTTACGCTTTATTTTCAAAGAACATCAACCGCGCTCGGAAAGAGAAGAGGGGGAGGAAAAATAAAGTAGAAACGAAAAGAGAACACAGATCGATCAACGCACATCTTGCTCATGGTTAAAATAAAAGTCGAAATAAAAGACGAAATGAAATTCGCGGCCGCGTAACACCATTCGTTTTTCACCCCGTTTAACCGCTTTACATCTCAACCGGCTGTTACAATTTTACATCTACTACCCCTCTTCCACCCGCTCTCCCGTTTTTACGCGTGCCTATTCCTGCGGGTTCTCTTTGTCGGACCTGCATGACCTACATCGTAAACTAGAAACACGCTCACGGTCGTAGAAGGGGGTGAAAAGGTAGGAGAAGGAAGACGAAAGGGAGACGTATGGCTGGTCGAGGGGTGGAATCCGCGCGTTCGCTTCGAGAGTCCGTAAACCAGACATTGTAAAGCTCTCGAATGGCGATTGCCAGTAAACCATGAGCATTGCGATAAAGTATAAAATTGTCCCGCGCTATGAAAGTGCCGTTAGCAGGTGTAGGTGGGTGCGTGTCCTATCTGACCGAATGAGATCTCGGCAGGTTCGTTTATTTGAGTGCCTTCGCCTGTGGGGCGGTTGCCTTTTATTATTGGCTCGTTGCGAGGGTGAGAAAGACTCGATCCCTAATAAGAGATATTCGAGATAACGGTTGGATGCAATTTTTATTATCATGCATTTTTGAAACGCTGGTCGATCGTCAGTTTGGTCGGAGGTTAGGTTTTGGAAAAGGGTCGGGGTTTTTCTGTGTCGTGTATTCTGGAAATTTTGTCGATCTTCGGGGTCGAGCACCGATATTTATGTATGACTATTATTTCAGGAGAAGATTTAGATTTCATCGATCTCAAATTAAAGGAGGTTATGACGTACTTATGACTGGAATTATTAAAGCGATGTAGGATAAAAATTCCAAAGGAACGTTTATTTTGCATTGCACTCAAACGAGTACGCAAAGAATCGAACCATTTCAACTTTGTCGTAATTAATTTTGTGAATTTATAATATATTTAAAACGCGAAACGTTAAATAGTTCGAGGCGAAATATACGAGATTTGGGCAGTTTTCATGATCATCGGCAAGCATTTTCGAAAATTCGTAGAATTATCAGTGATAGAAGTAATAGTGGCAAATGTACAATAGTATTCTTTCTTTTGATTTTTCTCGGATAACGCGGATTATTTTATTTTTTTTTAAATTTTCTTTGTCCGCCTGCTGTCTGCCACTTATAAATAATGCAATAACCTTACGATTTACTTGGAACTGTAAAGTCTGGCCGACTCGTAACGTCGATCGTTAAACAATTGCAACCGAAACGCAATTGATGCAACGCGTTACAATCTGCTCCCTTGTGAGGCAGCCTTAAAGTGCATCCGGAAACTGCAACAATTTCATTTTATGGACTTTCACGTATACCGACCGCTGCGAGCCATTTCACGGTTACAGCGTGAACATCCACGGTAGTGCCTTTTACGATTTACATTCATTTCCATATTGCATCTCCTTGCCCTTTACAGTACCGTGTGGAAAAACCTGATTGATTAATGACGTAATAAATAATCCAACGCAGCCTCGCGAGGGAATGAGGACTCGTGGTGCTTCCATAAAATCTTTCATTGGTGGAGCTTTCTACGATTTCTCTTTGAGAAGTATAATACAGCTCCTAGTTGAAAATTAAAAATGTTTGTATCAGACGTAAACCAGCACTGTACTTTTTACGGTAACTGGACACTTACGTTTCACAGAACATTTCACAGAGCGAGTACTAAAATGCAAGATAGTATACAGACATACGGTGACAAAGTGCTAGCATATCCTGTGATTTTCAGTGTCTTTCAAGTGACTTCAAAGTGGTGTACCTCGATAAAAGAAATACCATGGATATCCTTGTAAATAATTTGATTTAATCGCATTTATAGGATTCAGACGTCGATGAACGTCGTATTGGACTATCGAAAAACAGGCACGCTTCGAAATCGATTCTTTCCACGTCGACCTGTCTCGTTTCTTACACTCCCGTGTATGACCCAGTAGTTACGAAACTACGAATTTTGATTAAACAGATCGATCGGATGATAATGGCGAGTGTCGTATGAAAATCACCCCTGGTCGCGACAAGCCTCGTCTAGAGCAACTTTCTAAACCCGAATCAAAAATTCCGATCCACACGGATAACCGACGATGGTGTAACAACGCGTGTCGTTGATTAATTATCTTCCCCAGTGCTGAAAAATCCACAGATTTTGACTCACTCGATCAAACTCTCCCTTTCCCTCTCCTTCTCTCTCTCTCTATATAAAAT